TCATTCGAGATATAATCAAATACTAGAATTTGGAAACGCGCCAACTGGAACCAATCTTAGATCAAACTATGTTTAGATACCTTTAGTCGAGGAGATTGTTCGAACGTTAACACGTATTTTTATATTTGACTAGCGTCTCACTCTCGCTTTGTTCGAGTTCGTCCCTAGAAACGTTTTAACGATTAGTATAGATTTTTCAGAGATGAGTATCCTATATGTTGACCTGGATATCCAGCTACCATTATATCAAGTTTCATTAAAATCTGTCCAGTCGTTATCTCGTGTTGCGTTCTCAGAAGATAGATAAAAATTCTAAAAACTATAGACTCGGCCTCTGTGTTGTCAATAATGACTATTTCAATAAGATTTTCCAAAAAATATTTAATGTACAGATTCGACTCAGTTACAATTTTATTATATGTTCAGCTTTTGTAGGCGGCTTTGTTTGATTTTTCACTGACTTCCAAACCTACCTACCCCGGTATTCAATTCGTCGTTTAGAATTTTTTTGTGGGTATGTTTTCGATATCTTGGCGTGATCGATTCGATATCTGGTATTGTGCATCGATTTTTATTGTTCTTTATTTAATGAGTAGGTTATACCTAAGAGATGGTCTGTCATTTAAATTAAAAAAAAAACCCTGAAGGATAGAAAAATTACGTTTGAGTACCTACTTTTGAATTTCGTATATCTTTTTGGATAAAAAGTGCTTATCTATACTATAATATTATAAAGAGGTAAAGTTTGTGAGATTGTGAGTTTGTGACGTTGTAGGGGGTAATCTCTGGTTTACTAAACCGATTTAGATGAAATTTAGAAAGAAGATAGTTTGAGACCCTGGGAAGGACATAGGATACTTTTTATTCCAGAAATCATCACTTAAGGGGGTGAAAATGGGAATGAAAGTTTGTATGGGGAATCAATTTTCAAAAATTTGTATGGTGAGTGGCTAGTTAGTGTATATAGATGCGACTTTTCTCGTTTTGCCTAAATTTCACTTATCACTGTAACAGCGAATCGACGTATTTTTGTACACAAATATTATACCTATATATATAGGTTGAAAACAAGGTAGCCTAATTGTTGACATTATTAGCTTCTCTCGTATCTATCTGTTAACGTTATCAAATCGTGGAAGTCGATTTTAACTTACCTACTTCAAATAGTTGTATTGGGTGATTTTTTTTTACGTGTATGACACCCGGATTATAATACAAACATATGGATATCAATAAACTTATTGGGTTCTAATGATGGAGCCAGAAGTTGCATCGTGGAATTCTTCAATAGCTACTAAAAAAGCGAGTATATAATATATTATGTGTACATAATATATACCCTTGTATTCAGTTACAGTTTAAAAAAAAATCTAAAAACAAATGTTTATATAGTCCGTAAACGTTTAACTGGTACATATTGAAGCATAATAATGTCTATTTCAATAAGATTTTCAAAAAAATATTTAATGTACAGATTAAGTAAGTTAATTAAGTTAAAATTTTATTATATGTATAGATTAATATTACATTATGTGAAAGTTTGTGAGGATGTATGGATGTTTGTTACTCTTTCACGCCAGAACGGTTGAACGGATCTGAATGAAATTTGGCACAGAGATATATTATAGTTTGGAATAACACATGGGCTACTTTCTATCCCGCATAAATGTACGGTTCCCGTGGGATAGTTCTGTTTTTGTTCTCCTAGAGGAGAATCCGAGCGAAGCGAGGCGATAGCTTCTAGTCTATAATAATTGCTGCTTAAGTGTTTATCTGATGTATAAGCTATATTGCTGTTAAGTTTTACCAAAATCCTTTTAATACTTTTTGTGTGAAAGAGTAACTAACATACATCTACACATCCTCAAATTCTCGCTATTGTAATATTAGTAAGATTGTAGGGACTTTATGATTTTTAAAGAAATGATGATAGCACGTTCTACGGCTTCATACAATTTCGGTTAAGGATAACTTATGTAAATTTTATTTTTAAAAGGTTGTTGACACCGCCGACTCGTGATAGGTGTTACGTGAAAGTGCACTATATGTTATTTGCAATAAAGATGACTTTCTAACTATATTGTCGGTTGCGAAAGAGTCACCGCATACTGCAGATTTTTTAGATCATTTTGTCGGGTTTTATGAGTACTACATTATATTGATATATTAAATTTATAAATTAAAACGTTTCGAGTTTTAGTCCCAAAACGTTCCCCATAACCTCACCTATACAGATAAATAAAATTGAAGTGTCTGTTTGTAATGTCAAAATAACAGCTGTTTACTAAATGCTTATGAAATTATATTCTTATGAGAAAAACACAATTTTTTTGTCTCTCTGTCTGTCTGTTTATTCCGGTTAATCTCCGAAGCGGATGGACCAATTTCGACGCGAATTTACTAGCAGATAGCTGATGTTATAAGGAGTAACTCAGGCTACTTTTATGTTACAAATATAATTAGGATTCCGCTAAAACAAATTAAAATGTATAAAATAAAACGCACTCGAGCGAAGCGATGGTAAGTCGCTTATCAGGACTAAAATTGTTGGTACATTTCATTTGAATGTTAGATAAGGTATAAATTGATATTTAGGAACAGTTTCTAGTTTTAGAAATTAGGGCTGAGAAATGTTATAAAAAGTCTGCAATATGTCTTACCCCTTATGAATACATACAAAACGTTGTTATGTAAGTTGGCATCGTTTGAATCATATTTATTATTAATTTATTTACTTGAATATGTCCCAGATATAAATAGGCGCGAAAACACTACCGTGCTCTAAATAACAAGTAGTTAAACAAAATTAAGAAGAGGCTTAGAAAATAGAAATCGAACTTGTAATTATATGTATATTTATTGATTAGGTATTTAGTTGACATTAGTATAAAACTATGTTTCATAATATATTTGGTGCTAATATTTGGCCGCGGCATTGCTCGCATACTAGGCTAGCATAAATAGTAGCCTATGCATGTCAAATGTCATCGAAATCTCTTCAGCGGTTGGAGTGTGTAAAGGTAACAGACTAACAGTAAAAGGAGTACTTCGTAGAAACTAACAGCCCACTTCGCTGTTAAAAAATTGAAAAAAAAAAATTAACTTTCAAGCTTAATGTTGCGGAAAAATATCTTTCCATCGTGATTGAAAGTAGCCTTTATCCTTCTCGCCTGAACTCCTTTTAAACCAGTTAAATTCTTATGAAAATTGATTCAGCCGTTTCAGAGATTAGCGGGTACAAATAGGCAATACATGTCATTCCCATAAAATATTAAATTTCCTAAAAGTGTAAACAGTTGTAGAATGCAAGTTCAAGCCTCCAGTATAGTTTTTTAAACTAACGATCATAAAATCTATACATATAATAAAATTCTATCTGAAAATCTTATTGAAATAGTCAAATTATAATCGATACAGAGGCCGAATCTATAGTTTTTAGAATTCTTGTCTGTCTGTCTGGGAACGCACCACGAGAAAATCTCTAGACAGATTATGATGAAATTTAGTATGATGATAGCTGGTTAGGTAATCAGACGGGTGAACATATAGGATATTTTTTACTGCGGGAAAATATCTCATCTCTGAGAAATCTGTACTATACGTTAAAAGGTAACCGGGAACGAACCCGAGCGGAGCGAGGGTGAGTCGCTAGTATAAACTATACTATATACTATATATATATAGTATATGAATATATCGCTACATGCAATGACCTAAAATAGCAATGGCTTTTGACATTAGGGAATGTGCCCCATCATGGGGCTTTTTAAGGTGTTCTGAATTCTATACTTAGTATTAGTTTGTACATAAAACTGAGCAATTTATCTTGATTTATTTTGTTGTTTTCCTACTCCAATTTGTTTAAAGGTCACACGCTATATGAGTTTTGCAGGAAATGTATTTGTGAGAGGTTATTTCACTGTGAGTGTTTGAGTTTAGTCATCGCTTTTTAGCTCAGACATATCGTGTTCAAAATCGATAGTTGTTATCATGTATATCTAAGTATACTGTATGTATGTAGAAACGACTATTTTAACCTATATCGATATTAATATATGATGCTAAAGAGTTTGTTGTTTTGTTTGCTTAAAACGTACCAGTCTAAAATGAAAAAATCTCTCTTTTTTTGCTTATTTGATATTAAATTTATTAATTTTTATATTTAATCTTATTGGTTATTTATTGTGGGAGGTAATAGGATTTTTAAGTTAACCTACGATTATTGTGAGCTGAGCAATTATTTAAATTACGCGAGTGTAGCCACGGTCATAAACGTATTAAAAAATAACTAAGTGATAGACCCAAGTGACCTATATGCTAACCCGCTTTGTCTAGAAGTATGAAATTTTGTATGACATCCTTTTATAACAAAATTGAACATTGGGATTGATTTTTTAAAATTCTTACCCGAAAAAGTTAAGACAGGCCGAGTGAGTGAAAGACTGAAGTGAAAGCTTATGGGCCGTGAAATAAAAAAATATAAAGTAACAACTGTAGTAACCGTAAAAAAGAGTATACAAAATAGCGGTTTTTTAATATTGTGTTTAAAAGAAGTTTGGAATGTATATTAGTTATTTCAAGTTTTTTTTTATTTTAGTTATTCTGTCCGTCCGTCTGTCTGTATCTCATGAACCGTAATAGGTAGAGAATTGAAATTTTCACAGAGTGTGTATTGCTATTGCCGAAATAACGAAAAAGAATAAAAAACCAAGGTGGCGAATTGAAAATAAAAAAAAAGATTATGATGTTAATATTAGTCTGTGTACTTAAAAAATATTTCAAAAGTAGGTACAAAAGTATTATACGATCCTGTACGATGTGCCCTTCATTTGCGAGTCCAACCCGCACTATAACGGTTTTTTGAATGAATTGTATTAAAAGTATCGTACTTCGCTGATCAGTTTTTATAGAATAATTTTTCTAATTCCCTCCACTTTCTTTGATTTTTCCCTCTGACTTTTACTTATTTAAATACGTTATGTCTTATTTGTTATCCACAGATGTATCCGGCAAAGTTCGCATTTGGGATACAGTGAACAAGGAACATATCCTAAAGAACGAGTTCCAGCCTATCGGAGGGCCTATCAAGGATATAGCATGGAGTGCCGACAGTCAGAGGATGGTGGTCGTGGGCGAGGGACGGGAGAGGTACTGCGTTATTTCAGAATCCGTTCTTTCTATACTGTGATACCCTCAAGGGCTAAAAATTCTGACACAATCGAACAATCTTTCTTCGAACGATGAACTTTCGAATCGACAACAAATCGCTAATAGAAAACGACAAGCGGATAGCGATAACGATTGTAGGATACTGTATAGTGTGTATACCTGTATACAATATTATAAATACAAAAGACATTAGTCGTACGTATTATGATAAATGCGAATCTGCCCCATTGGTGTAGTGCTTAGCATGTACGGTCGCAGATCCAAAGGTTCTGGTTTCGAGTCCCAGATCGGGTCAAGTTTACTTATTGAGTGTTTCTTTTAAGGAATTCTAAGTAGCAGCCCGGAGTTGGGAAGTTGGCGATGTTTCACCCCCAGTTTCGGAGAGCACGTATAACCGTCGATCTTGCGCCTTAACTCTCACTGGTCTTGTCGGAGTATTGTCCAATAGATTTTGAGATTGGAAGGGAATAGAGAGTGCACGCACGAAATCGGTCAAGGGGATATCATAAATGTGAGAATATGTATGTGGGTGTGTTTGGTTGTTCCTTCATTACGCTGAAACTAGACGGATTTGTTTGAGTATCTAAATGATTTGAGTATTATCTGGAGTAACATATAGGCTACTGTTAGGCATATAGGGATGCACCTTAGTCTTCTGATATATAAATATCTCATGTCACGGTGTTTGTGGAAAGATCGATCCTCCGAAAAGGCTCGACCAATTTTAATGTTTTTTTTTTGTATATTTGTTAGGTATGAGAATAGGTCAAAAAGTGTTTTTCAACACATAAAGCCAACGAGTTTTTTTTGTAGATTGAACGCGAGCATTGCCGCGAGTTCCGTTAGTTAATAAATAAAAAGTATCAAAATAACCAGTACAAAAAATCCTCAACCCTTTTAGATTCGGCCACGTGTTCATGGCGGAGACCGGCACGTCGGTAGGCGAGATCAGCGGCCAGTCCAAGCCGATCAACTCTGTGGACTTCCGGCCCGCGAGGCCCTTCCGCATCGTGACCGCGTCCGAGGACAACACCCTGGCCGTGTTCGAAGGACCACCCTTCAAGTTTAAGTGCACCAAACAGGTAATATATAATTTTTATATAATTTGTATGGAGGCTATCTCAAATTTCTTTCGTCCCTTAAAAATCGAATCTATCCCACGGGAATTGTGCATTTTCCGGGATTGTTAGAAGAACGTTTTTTAATAAATAATAGGTACATTCGATTAAGCCATTTATTTAAAAATAATTTATTATTGATTTTTTTAAAACCGTTCGATCGATTTCGATAAAATTTAAATGGGATCACTTGGTAAGTATACCCTTTAAAACAAAAAATGAATTTTCCAAATCGGTTCAAGCGTCTTCGAGTAAACGGTGAACATACATATAAAAAAAGATTGCGACGAATTGAGAACCTCCTCCGTTTTGGAAGTCGGTTGATAAATAAAATGTAATTTCGATATTTAAAAGAGCAACTGTCTCGTTTTCTTTGAGCTGTTCTCAGCAGAGCTGCTTCCCGAGTCGATGGAGTCGATGGTAGATTCCTAACGGATTGACTACACCGACGCTCTTTAAATTTTATTGACGATAATAAGTCTAATTAAATAAAGTTCATTTTATTTCACTTCAAAATCGGTTAAGCTGTTTAGTAATTTCGAGGAAACGTAGGGTCGGACATACAGGTTAAAAATATAACCCTCCTTTGGGCTTCGCCGCAGTCGGGTAAATTTAAATCCGTATATTTAATTTGTATATATACATTCCAGGAGCACACCCGCTTCGCGCAAGCAGTGCGCTACAGTCCCGATGGCAGCCTGTTCGCATCGGCCGGCTTCGACGGGAAGATATTCCTTTTCGATGGCCTTACATCGGAGTTGAAGGGAGAGGTGAGTGTGTTTTGTAGCTTGTGTATTGAACCTTTTAACGTCCCATTGCTGGACACGGGCCTCTCTTCAGTACGAGGGGATCAGGCCATAGTCCACCACGCTGGCCGAGTGCGGGTTGGCGGACTTCACATGTCTTTCGAAAACTTGCTAGGTTCTCTCAGACATGCAGGTTTCCTCACGATGTTTTCCTTCACCGTTAAGACAATTGGCGATCGTGTTGGAAATAGTTCGCACATGTATGATAATAATAATGTGTAAGAAACAATAACAAATCTGTTCCTCGGGAACGTAACATTTTTGCGGTACAAAAATAAGTGCTATTCCAGACTATAATCTATCTCTGTGCCAAATTTCAACTAGATTAGTTTAGCCGTTTTGGCGTGATTGAGTAACAAACATCCAAACTTTCATATTATTTATAATATTAATCGAATGGGATTTGTTCCAGTTCGGCTCCCCAGCCCACAAGGGCGGTGTCTACAGCATCTCTTGGTCTCCGGACGGCAAGCAACTGCTGTCAGCCTCCGGAGACAAGACCTGTGCCATCTGGGATGTGGAGACCATGGAACGGACCACCACCTTCAATATGGGTACTGCTGTGGAAAACCAACAGGTATGTTCAGGTCAATTTCCATGGCTTATGTGGATGTGATGGCCAACATGTGAAATTTAATGGCAATTTTAAAGCCAGGTTTTAGTAAATTGAGTTATTTGTTAAGATTTTATGTTACAAGCTTTTATTTAACTTGCAATGTTTGTATGTTTGTGCGACTCAAATCTCGCAACTGAATTTTAAAGCAGTTATCTTCAACCGTTTTAGCTGAAATTTGAGATATTTACTTGTGTAGATAAACAAGAATACGATATGTAACTTGATCTTGACATACGTAATTCTAAGTGTAAAATAATGTTTTTAATAAAATAGGTAAATCTCGTGACAAGTTTTTATATTATATAAGTTGTTTAATTTAATAAATTGATGGCTTTGATTTAATTTAAAGTTTATTTTCTTTATTTTTTATAGCATTTACATGAGAGCTTGTTTTTCAAAAATGTTTTTTATTAGTAAGTGGTATAGTATAAATAACTTCAAATGTGCCATGACAATTTATCGGGAACTCTGTTCTTTTATAGTGTTATGAGATGTGGAGAGAGAGTGAAAGAGAGAGTTATTTTGTATGTATGTATGTTTGCATACAGACGATAATGTAACGTACACAACTAAATACAAAAAATATGCAAGTTATTTCTTCAGTAGATATCGAACTTGAAAGTGTAGGATAGAAATTTATAATTAAAAATTTATAAATTAATTTCTCTTATACTTTAAGTCCAAATTCCAAGTAACTATAACCACAGATCATATAATACTATACTAGTATAGATGCCTCATTCCATACAAAAAAATTGGACAGCGCTAATTCGGGCTATTTTTGCTATTTTTGTTTGCTTGAATAGATTGATTCGCAAATAATTTTATAAATATCTGTAAACTAACAAATAGTAATATTGTGAAATTAATTCTGCAGTCGAATTAAAACGATTTCAGTGGTTTTTAACAATTTTTAAAAGTGATACTGATAAACCATTCATAAAAGTTAAAAGCGCCATCTGTGAATATACACAACAAACCTATCATCTGATTGCTGATATTTCAATAATCAGTAAAATTACGCAAATTTGATTTACTAGCGCGTTATTTCTTTTCCCTTCACTTAGAATATATTTTAAAATAATAACACATCATTTAAGGGTCAATTTTTTTATCTTTTTCGTGATGAGATCCCATGATATAATGGTGAATCCCAATAACTTATCTATCTGTGTTTCTCCTTATATATATATATATATATAGCAATTTGACCCAAATTGTATGGAGGTTATATCAAATATTTATATCTAGTAAGGAAAACCACGGATTCGCCGTAAGATGGTTGCAATTTTAAAGTTAAAAATTGATACAAAATATCTTTGTACTCTGCAAAACTGTAATTTTTTGCTTCTTCTGAAATGTAAAATGAAAAAACAAAGCTTGTTTTGAAGTGAATATGTTGGAATGTCATCTTTATTTCTATCTCTTGTGTTCTGCTGAAACCAGAATAGGAGATCCAGCTTTTTGAATCTGTTGACTTGATATTCGTGCGATAGTATATTTTTTTGGTTTAGTATACTAAAATGATGGAACGTGAACTAAAATAACTTGAGTTTTTAAAATTGTCGTTCATTTAGATTTTTTTAAATTCTTTATTTCATTAGATGTGGAAAAATTATATTATTTCTAAAACAACCTTTATGGACACAAATCCGACTCTTACTTGACCATTAATTTTGCTATCTCCAGGTATCCTGTCTCTGGCAAGGCAAACACCTGTTGTCCGTATCCCTTTCCGGGGACATCAACTACCTGGACGTATCTAACCCGGACAAGCCTCTCCGAGTACTAACAGGACATAATAAGCCTATAACTTGCCTGGTTTTGAAGGATAAAAGTCTGTTCACTGCCAGTCATGATGGAGCTGTTACTATGTGGAATGTGGAAACTGGTAAGGGTCTTGTTATCGTGGTTACTTACGGGTTTGAAAACCACTGGACACATTTTGATAATATTTGGTATGATGATAGCTGGTTATCCGGGTATTGCATATAGGGTACTTTTTACTGCAGGAAAATATCTCATTTTTGAGAAATCTATACTGAACGTTTAAACGTAAATAGCGACGAACCCAAGCGGAGCGAGGGCGAGTAGCTAGTTATAAGTATAAATTTAACAATTAATATATAGTGTACGTCGTACAGTTAGAGACAACAGAGACTGGACACGGAAGTGGACAATGACATTAAGGCACAGATAATAAATATGTATAGAATTATGTTACAAGTGTTGTAACGCCAACCGTTGTGATAAATAATGGTCGCTGTTGTTTGCGTGTAGTCCAACATTTAGAAACAAATATAGTGTATTTTTTTTTATTCTCAGGTGAAGGTCGTCGTATAGAAGGTCCAGGTCACGGCAACCAGGTAAACGGCATGAGCATAGGCAAGGACGCGCTGCTCACGTGCGGCATCGACGACGCGTTGCGTCTGGCGAAGCCCATGGCTGAAGGTGGGTTTGATTCCTTGTTTATAGTTTGTGATGTTCAGTATTCTTCACAATCCAGTATTCCGATCCACACTTTAGTGTATTGAGCATCTTTAACGTCCCACTGCTGGGCACGGGCCTCCCTTCAATAGGAGGGGTATACGTTTAATGTATATCATATATTATTCCAGGGGAAGTCCCGTCGTACACATCGGAGGCGATTACTCTGGGGTCTCAGCCGCGCGCGCTCGACCACCTGCCCGAGGAGGACCTCACCATCGTGGCCACTGTCAAGGAGGTAGGGCTCGTAGGGCTCCCGACCCTTGAGGTTGGGGTGAAATCCCTGGAAGGGTTGGGATAGGGCACCGGACCCTTATTAGGGTTTGTTAGGAATTTCAAAATGGAGAAGGTTTTGGGTTCGGTTTTATTTTTGGTCTGTGTATGTTACGTGATATATTTGCCCATTATGAACATTTTTCTTTATTAAAAACGTTCTTTTTTTAAAGACTTCAAGAAGACCTGAGAAAATAACTCGAATTCTGCATTAAAAAACTCTCTCGGTAAATTGGTCGTTTGGACAAATAAGCACTGAGTCAATGATTCAATGAATATTGTATTAATTTAATGCTGAATAAATCGAACAAAAAAGTACTAGATACACAATCGACGACAAAAAATGTCCTCACGGATTGAGCGCTCTTTTGAACATTTGAGCGCGATGTTAATTTAATTTTTTCGTGAATACAACTTTAAGCATTGCGTTTAAAGTTAAATTTACGTTGTATATTTATTTCAACTAGAATAATTACCTAAACACAATTGGTGACAGTTTTATGAGAGCTTTTGCATGGGATTGTGTATCTAGTACTTTTTTGATTGATGGCATGAATAAGAAATTTTGAATATGAATCTATACATATAATAAAATTGTAATTAAGCCGAATCTGTATTAAATATTTTTTTGGAAAATCTTATTAAAATAGACTTTATTATCAAGACAGAGGCCGAATCTATACTTTTTAGAATTTTTGTCTGTCTGCCTGCCTGTGACCGCGTCACTGAAAAAATCACTCGAGGAATTTTGATAAAATTTGGTATGACGATAGCTGGTTATCCGGGTCAATATATAGAATACTTTTTCTGCAGGAAAATATCTCATCTCTGAGAAATCTATACTAAACGTTAAGATGTAAGTAGGGATGAATCTGAGTTGAAAGTTGCTAGTATACATATAAAATGCAAAATATCTGGTATTTCAGCTGATAGTGCTAGTGGGAGGCAGTAAGAAGTCGACGCTGCCGCTCTCGTACGAGCCCAGCTGTGTCACCATCAACCCCAACGTGAGACATGTGGCTGTGGGAGGTTGGTTGCTTGTTATATTAATATATGAGACTACCTCGGTGGTATAGTGGCTAATATGTATGGCTGTTGGTCCAGAGGTCATGGGTTTAAGTCTTGGGTCAGGCCAAATGTTTGATTTTTCTGTTAAGATATTCTCAGTAACTACTAATGTATATATGGGTGGATGATATAATTAATATCTTTATTTCTTCTCATTAACTTTATTGTTTCTAGCGTTACATTTTACTATACTTTACAAAACACGACTGACGACATATTCTATTTTTATATACTAAGTAAAGACACTATTGTCTTTGCTACACTACTCTATAGTTGCCACTTGCCAGTTAGGCATAGAGAAAATCCTAACAGTAACAGCTCAAACTTGATAAGTTGGTGGTGCTACCCCTAATTTGTTTTACTTTTCGTCTCACTTTCATTCTTTTACTTTTGGTATAAGTGGGTGAGTCCATTTTTTCTTACCTGTGGCATCCCATAGTGCCTGCCGTCGGAGAATGCTCATATTCTCTTTTCCTCACTTCAGCTGATGTAGAGTTGGTATCTTGCTTTTTCCTATGGTCAAAAAAATACTTCTTCGGCTGAGGTCACAAATGGCCTCATGCCGACAATTATAAAATTCAGAATTGTTTCTATTTTCTATCTAGTTTGGTTTAACAGATTAGTTAAAAACAACACAGCCAGAAGAACCAAAAAATAAAACTAAAATTGCTCAAAGTATTTATTTCAAAACTATATTTAATATTACAATTATTAATTGATCTAATGCTACTCGATGTTACAATTAGAATTGAATATAAACATAATTTAGTTATGACGTAATTGCCTAAGAACATAACTATAATTGATCTAAACAAAAAAATTGGTTTTCTGTAAAGTCGGTTTACGGACGATACTTTTATGTGATAACATCATAAGAAAACATTGATGAAAATTTGCATACTTTTATGAATTGAATTTAATTATTATCACTGAATTATCATTATTTTGTAGAATACATTGAAGGGGTTAATTGAAAATTACAATTTTTTCGATAAATTAACATTTATTTGCACTCGTTAATTCTAATATTATATTTTTTTAACTTAAATTATACAGATTAATAATTACAAGTAACAATGTGCTATTAACAACTTAGGTCGATCGTGCCTCTCTATCGCTCGTTTTGTGTTCTCGCGTGCACGCTCGGCTTTTTCGTGCGTGCAGCCGGCGGTCATAGATTTATAAGACGTGATCACGTCAGTATGTATGTCTGTCCGTGTGACAGGTGACGACAGCAAAGTGCACATATACTCGCTGTCGGGCGGCGAGTGCGCGCTGTCGGAGCTGCGCGCGCTGCAGCAGCTGGGCGCCGTGACGTGCGCGCGCTACTGCCCCGCCGGCGCGCGCCTGCTGGCCGGCGACGCGCACCGCAAGCTCGTGCTCTACGACGTGCCCGGGTACGAGGTGCGTACACACACACATACACACACACTCACACACGTACACAGTGCTACCGACGACGCGCGGGTTCGTCTCTAGGTACGTTTTGATGGTTAGTATGGAATAGATAGACTATGTATTGTATATACATGGGTATGTTGAGTAGTTGTGGGTTGTATTATAACTTGTTATCCCGTGGGAATGAGATAATCTTCCGCGTTAAAAAATAGACACAAAATCACGCCAATTAGTCACTTTATTTCGATATGAAAGAAGGACAGATAAACAAACAAAGAAACTTTCATATTTATAATACTAGCGACTCACCCCCGTTTCGCTTCGAGTTCATCCCTAATGAAGAATAAAAACAAATTTATCCCATGAGAACCATATATTTTTTCAGAAGAAAAAAATTCCCTGTACGCTATTCTAAACTATAATCTATCTCTGTTTCAAATTTCATTCAATGTGATAGAATAACAAACACCCACCCATCCACCTACAATTTTTTACATTTATAATATTACTAATGACTCACCCTGGCTTCGCTCGGGTTTATCTCCCATACAAATTTTCATCCCCATTTTCATCCCCTTAAGGAATGATTTCCGGAATAAAAAGTATCGTATGCCCTTCCAAGGGTCACAAACTATCTTGTTACCAAATTTCATCTAAATCAGTTCAGTAGATCCAGAGATTACCCCCTACAAAGTCACAAACTCACAAACTTTACCTCTTTATAATATTAGTATATATCTAATCTATTTATGTATCTGCCTGTCCGCGTGTCAGCTGTCGCACAACAAGGAGTGGGGCTTCCACACGGCGCGCGTGAAGTGCGCGGCGTGGGCGCCGGGCGGCGCGCGCGCGGCCTCGGGCTCGCTCGACACCAGCGTCATCGTGTGGAGCGTGGCCGCGCCCGCCAAGCACACTCTCATTAAAAGTACGCACTGTTGCTTATATTTTATTTATTTTTTATTTTTGAAGTGACAACTTGTATAGACAGGTTTGGATGGGGGTTAATTCATGGTAAGTCGTCATCGACATGGTCACGTGACGTGTAAACGCTAACACCGTGCCGATGGATGTCGAAACCAGATAAGTGTAAACAGTATTTACAAATTTTAATTTAAGATTTTAATCTATAATTAATTGTTTTCAATTAATTTGAATATCCAAAAATAACAACTGCTTGTTTATAGTTTTAAGTTTTGACTTCTGTCGGCAGTCCTCAGGACTATTTTTTTTCTTCTATTTAGTTTTTTTTCTCAGCTTTGAAGTTATACTTCTTGTAACGCGTTAGGATTTTTTATTAAAGTGAATTTTTATGATGCGCACAGCGACGTAATTAGACTACAGTATGAAGTTAGTCGTTAAATCTCCCTATATTATAGTGGTACGCGTAAATACATTTTCCAACACTAAAAATAGAATGACAGACAGACAGACAGATAAAATTTAAAAACTATAGATTCGGCCTCTGTATCAATAGTAATGACTATTTCAATAAAAAAAATTCAAAAAATATTTAATGTACAGATTCGGCTTAGTTACAATTTATCGATATTTATCGATATAGATAAGCGAATCAGTACGCGGTTACGGGATACTATGGTTATAAAGCCAAAATGTGTGCTGTTACTACAACTTTATTACTTAATGAAATAAATAAATAATTTTATTTCGATTATTTTTGATATATTAGTTTCCTATATATTCATATAAGTAGCAAAAATGTTTTTTGCTTGCTAGCCATTCTCATTTATTATATAATTATATTTTTTAATTAAACCTTTATCAATTTTATTTAATGTCTTTATTTTATTATTTTATCAACTTTAGCTTCTACCAATGCATAGGTATCATCGGCACGCAGGATAAAACATTTGGAGTTATTTTTGTTCTGTTACACCAAATAAGTAGAAGTTATCTTCTTACGTGCTTACATAAGTACACATACACACACACACACTTTTTTAAAGGGATTTATTTCAAAAACATGCCAGACCTATCATACTTTAATCTAAATAGTTATATAAACCGGATACTAACAAAATCTTGGCCTCTTCAGAAGTAACAAAGGACGAAATGATGTTACCACCGAGATACCACTAACTATGAAATGAATGAATCTATAAATATAAAAAAAATGTAACTGATCGCTCTCTGTACATGGAAGATATTGTGGTAAAACTATTATTGGGGTCCTTGTTAACGCAATAGAACTCAAAATAATAATTTTTTGTCTGTTTGTCTGTGCGTTTGTGCGCGCTAATCTCAGAAACGGCTTAACCGCTTTGCGTTCGGTTTTCACTAATGTATTGTGGTAAGCTTAACTTAACATTTGCTATTTGTTTTATTTCAAACGGTTCATAAATAATTAAGTTTGTCAATTTAAAGAATCACTCATAAATAAATACTATGAATATTGTGTGTTCCAGACGCGCACCCACAGAGCCAGATCACGGGTGTGGCGTGGGTGGACGACGAGACGCTCGCCACGGCGGGGCAGGACGCCAACACGCGCATCTGGAATATTCCTAACGCTTAGATACACTAAACGACACTATATTTATTCTATACTATATGTATTATATTATATACTAGCGGTTTACCCTTGCATCGCTCGGGTATGTTTAATTTTTTTTTGAGCGGAATCTTAATTCTTTTTTCTAAAATAACAGTAGCCTAAGTTACTCCTTATAACATCAGTTATCTGTCAGTAAAAGTCCCGTCAAAATCGTTTCAGCCATTTCGGAGATTAGACGGAACAAACAGACAGACAGATGGAAATGTAATAATATTAAACTAACATCAAATTCTTTCGAATGAACTTTATGTGATTATTTTCGTTCATTCAACCTATATCGGCCATGTTCTGTTTAAACATGGCCGACACGAAATGGCAGACCTGTCTGTTTAACAATTTGCGCGCGCTTTATTTGAAAGTGACAGAATTTGTTTGTTTATTTGTTTGATCGGACGCGCTAATCTCAGGAACTAGTGATTCGATTTGAAAAATTCTTTTTGCATTAAATAGCCCGTTTATTGAGGAAGGCTATAGGCTATATATCATCCCAGAAAGGTTTCCGTGGTATAGATTTGTCTAGAGACGAACCCGAATCGAAACGAGGGTGAGCCGCTAGTAATACATATGTATAGTAAAAATAAGTGAAGTATAGACTCAATAGCCTATAAACTAACATATTTATTTAATTATTAAGCAACTCTTGGAATCGCTAACGGTGTGAAGAGCATTTTTTTATTTACATATTTTACCTAATTTTCTGTAAAAAGTATACTCAATTAATATAGATCTCAATAGTCCTCATAATGCAAATAACATAGCATTTTTTTTTTAATTTTTGCCGTTAGATTTTTGTATGTAACTCTGTTCAAAATGCTGAAAGTCATTGTCTTTGAATGTAATTATTGTGGGTATGAAAATCAAGTTTTTAAAAGGAAAAATTAACTTTGATTAAAATATTTCATACATCATGAAAACGTCAATCTATAGTTTTTCTCCATTTAATATATATGCAAATGGTTTCTCTGCTAAAACATGCATTTACAGTACAGATGGTATCGTTTATTAGATATTCTATCGTTAGTAGATATCGCGTAACAAACACATACACAAAAATTACGTACAAATTACTTGAATCTATTTCTTTTTGATGTCAGTTAAAAACAGCTCTTTCATATCTACAATATATTCAAAAATGACTTAAGTTTTTTGAAAGGGTTACTTTGAATTAAATTTTGTATACAGTATGTTTTTTATTGTACAGAGGGCTTAATAGTCATTTTTTTTCGTGAAATATTATAAATGATATGTTTTGTCGTCCATTGAGCTGTAATTTGAATAAGGTGCATGGAACATCATTGTAACTTGAAATAGTGACAATTATAAACTCTTCAGTAACTTTTTTTATCATACTGAGTTACATTTTTATTCCTCTCAACTGTTGAAAAATAACTAAAATATTCATAATATAATATTTTAAATGTTTTTTTACTGCAATATTGTTAAATAATATGATTTTTATTTGCAACGACAAATAATATAATTTAAAATATTACTCGAGAGATTCTTTTTTTTTATATTGAGTTATGTCTTTGTACTTCGAGAAATGTATCAGGATTTAAAATACAGATTATGTACAGTGCCACAAACTTACCTGACCCGGTAACGGGGTTGCTAGTTTTTAAGTGCAGAAGAAGTGATCCAAATATTTGTTGTTTTACCTACCAATCTATACATATAGTGCTTTGTATTGGCTTTCGATGGTATCTATTCTGATCTGTCCAGATTTAGATAATTGGGTAATTTAAAGGCTGGATTCCAAAACAACACGACAAAATGTTGTTTGCAAACGTGTAGATTTGGTTGCCAAATAGAATCAAGTCAGAGAAAGAGTCACATAAGTTTGTGGCACTATTGATAAACTAATCGGTTTTTTAAAATTTAAATTTAATTGTCATTATGTGTAATGCATAACTTTATAATGAATATTTTAGAAAATAAAAAAAATAAAAGATGTCCTACTCATTCAAAATTTCTTCAGCACTAATTAAATATTAAAATGGATTTTTTGTGAAAAAAAGATGTCTAACCAAGTGTTTTTGGTGGTTTTCTTCGAAGTGCGATTCAAAGCTTGTCCTATTTAACTAAAATATAAGATCGAATGTATACTTTGGAGCAGTATTTTTATACTTATCTAATTTTTCTGATGGATTTTCTCGTTTTTTTTACTAAAACTAAGTATGTAAGTGATAATAAATTGTGTACACTTGTAGTTTGTGTTTTATTTCTAACTATTTAGTGTATGGTCAGGATATGAGTATTTTTTTGTTTCTTTTACTCAAATGATGAAACTAATTTTTTGGATTTTTTTGCGTGGGGGCCGTTCATAAAATACGTTCGCATACAAGGGGAGGGGAGGGGTCTGGCTGAGTGTGACAAGATGTGACAAGGGGGGAGGGGGGGGGGTGTATACGGCAACGTGACGTTCGCCGTTTATTATTTGTTGACATGAGCGCTAGCTCTGTGGCGCGACTCTAGCGGCGTTGCGATCCGTCACAACTGGTTTCTTTGTTTTTCCAATACTTGAGAGAGTAACGTCCACGTACCCTGCGCTCTCGATTCAGTAACAAATGAAAATACTGTTTCTCATGTATTTATTATTATTTTATTCCTTCATTCGCCATTTAGCAGTGAACTAATACAGACGCTTTTTTCATCTTCTCAATTTAATACTCTTCAGTTAATTACTTTATCCCTTCATATGTGGTTATATGTTCGTTATGAAAGATATTTATTAATTTATTTAAATTTTATTATAACTAAATAAATATTTTTAATTTTCAGAATTTGTGTACGATCATTTAGAATTTATCATACTCACCAGGGGGTGGGGGGGGGGGTCTTAGTTTTTGTGACGAAATATTTGTAGGGGGGGTCACAGAAAGTGTGACACAGCGTGACAATATGGGGGGAGGAGGTAAAAAAAGCTGATTTTAGTATGACGTATTTTATGAACGCCCCCATGTCAAATATTCAACTAACTCAAATTTGTTGAGCCATTACAATGTGATTACATATATGAAAAAACTCAAACTTTTAATTTACTCATTGGAATACTAGTAATTTTCAGTTTTACTAATCATCAATCTATTAGTGTAAAATGGTTAAAAATGTGTATTTTCACAGTTCGTTAATCATATTTCATTGAATACAGAAGACTTCTGGTCGCACATTCGTTTTGTCACTGTCGCGCCTTTCCGCCATTTTTAGCTGACGGCTGGCAAAGAAACGCCCAGTGCAATATCTGTATAGTGGTAATATTATAAATGTAAAAAGCACACAAAGCAGTGGTAGCTCAGTGGCGCGTTCGATTTTGAAGCACAAGCGGGTTCAAATCCCGGGTCTCTCACCTTTGATATTTTTCTGAGACAACCTAGCAACTTTTCGAAAGATATGTGAATTCCACCCGCACTTGGTCAGCATGGTGGGCTATGGCTTGATCCCATTCACAGTGGAACGTTAAGACAAGGCTTAATACGAAAGGCACATAGGAAATAAAATTAGAATTCAATAAAAATACTTCTTTTATATAAAAAGTGCTTTATTAATTAATAACAATATCTTAAATAATGTCTTTTTGAATTCTTAACAAGTGACTAGATAAATTGTATTTTAACTTACACGGTGAGGTATAAAGCATATTGCAAAATTTTACACGCTTTTTTCTAAATGTAATTGTAAAAGTAATATAATTATTTGACTCAATTTGGTTGTAATTAAATTTTAGTCAAAAACGATTCCTCGTTGCGGTTGACTTCTACAAGTCGAGGATTTTTTAAATTTAAGTCACAAAATATAACATAATTCCTTTGTTTTTATTACTTATTATTATTATTATAAATAATACTGTTTATGATCAATGGAAACACTCATAATAGGTAATCTAATATTATTTCGTGCTTTTTGCTTTTTAAAATTTATCTATACGTACAGGTGTCTTTTCCTAAAAAAATACCATTTTTATATCTTTTCTAAAAAAATACAATCGCCCAGATTCTTTGTTGTTATTATAGAAGTGACCTTTGAGCGTAAAACGGATTTTTAAACAAACTGTAAAGGGCTAAAAATAATGTATGCGAAAAAATATTTTTCAAGTGCTATTTTAAAAAAAAGGAATTCGATGAAGCCCGAGAAGAATAATTGATCAATAAATTACCAAAAGTATAATGAAATTTAAATTTTGCAATATACTTGTTAATTTAACTAAATAACTTATAATAAATCAACAACACTCCACAAAATATTGGAAATAAAATAATGGAAAATTTCATTCACATTGTAACATGAATACAACTTTCATGAATTAATTAAAATATATATCTTATACATAACTAGCATTGCCCGCGGCTCCGCCCGCGTTCAGATGACCAAAAACCAAATTCTTAGGTTTTACTAGTATACTCTTACATTGCACTTTTGTATTTTTTCTCAGAAATAAGACATTTTCCCGCGGTAAAAAGTATCCTATATGTTGATCCGGATAACCAGCTATCACCATACCAAATTTTATCAAAATCCCTCCAGTGGTTTTTCTGTGATGCGGTAACAGACAGACACAGATAGACAAAAATTCTAAAAACTATAGATTCGGGCTCTATCGATAATAATATCTATTTCAATAAGATTTTCCAAAAAATATTTAATGTACAGATTCGGCTTAGTTACAATTTTACTATAAGTATGTCTAGATATGCAAAAGTCGTAATTATACAATATCTTAAATGAAAACATATTATAAGTATATTTACTAGATACGTTTTAATTTTTTTAACAGAACCTTAATTGTTTTTCTAAAATAAAAGTAGCCTAAGTTACTCCTTATAACGTCGTCTATCTGCTGTTGAAAGTCCCGTCAAAGTCTGTTCAGCCGTTTCGGAGATTAGCCGGAACAAATAGACAGACAAAAATTTTAAATATTGTGTCTTTCTTATAAATACCGTATATACCTAATTTCATATGTAGGTATTTAGTAAAAAACTGTTCAAAACAAACAGACACTTCAATTTTATTTATCTGTATAGATTTAAATTAGTTATTGTAGTTGATGCAAAAAAATTGTATATCTGTCCTGTGCTCTCGATTAAAGAAATTGAAAACAAAAATTCTAACAACTGCCATTATAATAGAGTACCTGGGCTACCGAGCTTCGCTCAGAGTTTTAGGCCTAAAATACAATTTTCTTTTTTTTTTAAACTAAAAACTTGAATTAATATTAAAAAAAAACAAAAGTAAGAACATTGTATGCGACCAAGATTCGAACCAGGACATCTGTAATTGTTGTTTTTTCACCTTGGCTGCTTGACCACGATGCTTATGCCACAAGCGTGCAAATTATCGACCTTATTTTGCGTGGAATAATGCGAAAGAAAACTGCATGAAAACTAGAAAACACGCGTTTTCTCATACATAAGACTAATCTAGATCGATATATCTATATTTTAAATAAGTGAATTTTAAAAAAGTTAAAAATATGATAACTCTGAAAGTGATAACCACAATACAATAATATCAAACCGATACTTTCTTAGATTACGCGAATATTAGACATTTTAAATAAAACTATCTTTTCGGGTTTTTTTTTCGAAGATTTATCGGAAACGGAAACGTCGGGAACGCAAAATAAAAATGTATCCGCAAAATGTTTTGAAAAGATGTGTTATGTAACATTTCAAACTTATATCATTCTAATATAATTCATTACTGTATTTCTTTTATGTGCAAAAGAGAATAGGTAATAATGATTGGTTGATATACCTTTACACAGGCTTTTTACTCATTTCCCCCCCAACGTGCGTTCACCTTGTCGTGGTGGGGGGGCTCAGTAGTAGTAGCGAAGCTAAGAAACGTACAGGGAGGTTGCCCACTTCGGTGGGCGGTGGGAGGTGGCCCTCTTCGGGGGCGGTGTACCTTGCGGGTTGCTCCTGGTACTTCTCTGATAGCAGAGTGGACCTTGGAGCAACCCCATGGTTGTGGTGGTCTGCTTCGGCAGACCTGCCGTCGGGGCGTCGTAGTTGAATGCGTAAGCGATCCTGCGACGCCCCATTAAGACGGGGGAAGGTTTTGTTGGGTTTTAGTGGGTAGTACTGGCTGTATTACGCCGGTGAGTCCCACACGTCGTGCGTAAATGCATTTCCCAACGTTAAAAAAAAGGGCTTTTTACTCATTGTTATAATATGCGACACAAATATAGTACAATTTTTGCTTTAGTCCGTTAGCCATCAAAGTTAGCCGATAGACCAGCAGAACGAAAAATATAAATGAATAATACAAACAAATTTCATTTGCCTAATTATAAAACTTATTATAAAATATTCTCTCGAAACATACTTGTAAAATCGGTCTTGCTCAGACATTAACAATTTTTAAATTATTTTTTTAGTTTTTGACTTTAGTAATAACTAAACTATAAATCTATCCATAGAACCTCCTAAATTTTGCTACAACATCTTGTCGCTAAACACAAAAAAATTGATGATACAATTCTAGATATAAATACTAAATCAAAACTGCTAAATTGTGCTCAACATAAACATTAAACATCATAAAATCTCATAACTTATAAATAGCAAAATAATAAGCATTAAATATGTCAGAACATACATACAACCCATGCAATCAGTCTTGCCTATCCCTATCCCTGTCCCGGACACTCCCAGCGTGTCTGTACGCGACGTGTTTGCGCAGCGCGTCCCGGGAGCGCGACACGTGTGCGCAGGCGCGGCACGCGTGTCGCCTCCCGGCGTGCGTCTCCATGTGTACGCGCAAGTTGTACTGGTTTGAGAGTCGTTTGTTACATATCGTGCATGTTGAAGAGTTTGTACGCCATTTGCGCTCGAAATCTGGTGGTTCTGGGATATTTTGATTAATTAGTCATTGTAGTTAAAGGTTAATAAATATAATTAATTAGCGACTCACCCTCGCTTCGCTCGGGTTTGTCCTTAGGTTGATTCCCCATACAAACTTTCATTCCCGTTTTCAACCGCTTATAGGATGATGATTGGAATAAAAAATATCCTATGTCCTTTCCAGGATCTCAAACTATATTCCTACCCATCTAAATCGGTCCAGTAGTTTTTGAGTTTATTCTTTCCTCTTTGTAATAGTAGTGTATATGACATTTTCCATGAAATTTTGCAAAGGCCCTAAACCTTTTAAAGTGAAAGGTCGTAGGCTCGATTCTCGCAAGTAAATTATTATAGCCAAAATGAATAAAGTATTTGTCAATTCGTTAATTTCCTACGAATATGAATAATAATTGCCTACATAATGACTGTTATGGAAGAATAGAGCATGGCATATTAAGTGGTAGGTCGTAGGTTCTATTCTTGCAAGTTAAATTTTTGTATTCTTTTACCTATTGCAAATATTAATATTACGTTAACAAAAGAAGGATGGGTTATTAATTACGGCCATAAGTGACTGCCTGTTTTCTACTTTTGTATGTCGTCTTATATGCGCTAAGAATTATTAGATGTTAGGTCATTATGTTCTGTCTACTCGATACCCGTATACCCGAGAGTGAAAATCTATATATATAAAAATGAATCCCTATTTCCCTTGGCCACGCCATCACGCATGAACGGCTGGACCGATTTAACTATTTTTTTGTTGTGTTTGTTATTGTCAGGAGAAGGTTCTTATGAAAGAAAAAATTGAAAAATTAACGAAAAAAAAACCACTTAGTCTTTGCGTTAAAAAAGTAGCACAAGACACAAGTGGTAGGTTAGATTCCCGTTTCGTGTGGTTGAATTGCGGATAATATTTTCTATTTTATTTTGCTTAAGAAAAATGGTGGTTTCACGTCAAACATAAAAAGGTAAACTGTAAGGAAAAGTCTTTCCTGTAAGGAAAAGAGGAAGTTTTTCACAACACAACAAAATAGAGGAATACTAACCTCCCAAAGCAGGTAACGGAGATGTCGTCACATTTGGCATAAAATTCCCAACTCGATGTGTACTGTATAAATTTTGGACTATTTGGTCTAGTTTGCTTAATTTATCCTTTTCATTTCTACCCATTTCGGTATATTTTGGTTCCATTTTGTCACTTATTCTTTGCTCTGGTTCCAAGGTTGGTACAAACTCTGGTACCGGGTCCAAGTTTATTGGAGATGTAGTTCCTGTGCTTGTTTCTGGTTGTGGTTGAGGTAGGTTATGGTTCTGAAATATGGTTTGGTTATTGGACATTTAGTTGTGGCGTTTATTTCAAGGTATATCCATTTTTTGAAAGTCTAGAAGATTTTTGTACGTAGCTAAATAAATTAGCTAACCATATTCAGCAGCAGTTCATACTATATGGCTTACCACAGACAAAATCCTGTTACAGCACCATTTTGAATAAGAGCTTTTTACAAGAAAAAATCTCTACAATCTGATAAATGTAAGTAACACATGTTGCGATTTCATCCATCACTTTAATTGATAAACACTTTATAACAAGCTATTGTGCGTGAAAGTTATTAGTTACAGGTTATAAATAAATATTAGTATAAGGTTATAAGTAAATAAGGTGCAGGTTATAAGTAAATAGGGAAGCCCATGGTAAAAACAAATGACATACCAAATCTTAAAGCTAAGTATATTCTAATAGTCACTATTTATAAAATTACAGAAGAGCTCAGAAGGGATGATCTTTTCTTACCTAATTTACAAATTTAAATATCATATCGGTAATTTATTTTCGCAAAATGTTCAAACATTCAATTTTCAATTGATTAAAACAGGGGTTATAACTCCTTAGGTCTCTCTATTAAAGAAAACAGTATAAAAATAAGTACAGTCGTTTCTAAGATTAGAACAACCAGAGTGGTTAGGACTTTAATTTGTAACATGTAGATAGACTTACACTATCCGCATCAGTGAGTCCGGACACTTGCAGCGTGTGAGCCAGGCGCAGCAGCGCGGGCAGGCAGCGTCTGGACGCGGTCACCTCCCCCGTGTACATGAATGTGAGGAGCAACCGTAGTTCCGCCGCCTCACACCCCAGCACTATCACTAACGTGTTGTTCTCAGTTTCAACTTCCTATAAATTTTATGAATATAAAATTCCTATAAAACCAAAAGACTGAAAGAAAATGAATGTAACCTACCTTTAGCTATTTATACATATAATAAAATTGTATCTGAGTCGAAATTGTGTGTGCATGAAATATTTTTTGAAAAATCTTATTGAAATAGTCATTTTTATCGAAACAGATGCCGAATCTACCTTTTAGAATTTTTGTCCGTCTGTCTGTCTGTGTGTGACCGCATCACGAGAAAACTACTGGACAGATTTTGACGAAATTGATGAATAAGATTGGTATGATGATAGCTGGTTATTGGGGTCAACATATAGGGTACTTTTTATTGCGGGAAGATATCTCATCTCAGAAAAATCTATACTGAACGTTAAAACATAACTAGGGATTAACCGAGCGGAGCGAGGGTGAGTTGCTATTTCAATTAATAAAATGAATATCATTTCATAGTACTGGAATATAACGCATTAAATAATTACTTATCATAAATATTTTTTAAATATTTTGGTGCAATTTTATTAAATAACCCTAATACGTTGTATCTGTCTACTTTCCATCCAAATCTGTTCGATGTTTTAGAAGAAAGGAGTAACAAACATATAGGTATATACATACATATATACAAACACTCGTTTTCTTAACACATATTTTCTTTGAAGTACATAGCTTTATTCTCTATCATCGAATATATTTCAACCAATTTTATAGATCAACTATACCGAGAATTAATTTGCCCCGTCGAGAATTAAATCCAGACAGCTTTGTTCTGTACCTTTCCAATGAATAAAGAATAGATGAGTAAGTAATTAAATATGCATTTTGATATAGACGCTAGCTTTTACGGCTGTAGGTCATAGCCCATAGGGTTCGAATCCCCGATTTAGTTGAAGATAAATTAAGTGGGCCGCCTATCAAGTTTTCTGTAGCAGCGCAATGTTGGGGAAAGTAAGATTGAACCTCTCCTGGGCCAGATCTATTTCCGATTGCTTGGTCCGTAGTACATTATTAAATCATTCATTGTATTTTATCTGAAATAGACCGTTAATTAGCGTCAATCTTTCGAAGCCAAGTTTGAGCCAATCTTAAAAAAATTAATGAGACAGCAAGCAGATGTTATGTTGTGTATGTTTTTAGTAAAAAAAAACGAGTCTGTGTATTTATGTACGCCCTTACGAAGTTAGACTTCTTTGGCGTAACAGAAGAAAAATAGCTAAAGATTTCATTCTGTATGTCACAACTCTCTGTTTGTAAAAGGAATGCAGCTAACTTCATCATGTCGCTTTTTGGCTGTCGGTGTGCGCGCATCGTAAAAATTTTACTCTCATATTTTTTTCCAAACGTGTTTCCAAATATTAGTTCTCTTTTTCTTATTTTTTTATAACTTACTTTAAATAATTGAGCAAAGTACTGACTACATGCTGCAAGTACTATACGATGAGCTCTTAGCAAGGCTCCGCTTGCGCTAAGAGTGACGTCACTCAGGGCTCCCGTATTCAACATCCGTCCTAACGCACCAATCACGCTTGTCTGTGGAAATTAAAAAGTAATGATAATTAAAAATATACATTATTTTTATTTATTTTTAAGCAAAATTGGCGCGAAATGAAGCAGTATGTATGTAATGTAGAATTTTTGGTTTGCTGTTAGTGCTTACTCTAATATAGAAAAAAAACTTCGGTGTGTTATGTTTTTTTTTGTTTAAATAGTTCAACTTCTATTACGTGTTCAGCCAGTTTAATGATTACGAATAATATATTATATTTTAATGAAACAATTTAATCCAAAGATATTATTAAAAAAAAAACATATTATTTAAATTTTTAAAACTTCTATATAATATATCGGAATAAATCAGTCATAATTTATAAAATTATAATTAATTAACTTTCATAATCTATAATGTATTATTGTAATATTAGTCCAGTCTTTTTAGCTTAAATTAGGTAAGAATCTCGGAATTCGAGATACCCAGCTATAAGTCTGTAAATACTTGTATATTGACACCCTAAAAGTTGTCTCAAAACCTACATATGGTAGGGTGTACGCAACTATCAAATTTCAAGGTCAAAGGTCACAAAAATCGTTTGTTTTTGCGTTTTTTTGTAAATATCTCATTTCCTATGAATTTTTTGCTATTTGTATTTATTATAAATATTGTAGAATACAAAATTATCTATAAATTTTGTTTAAAAAACAAAACTTAATAAACCTGTACAGCTTTCAAATATTCCACCAACAAGTGCAGCTGCTCATCGACATTTCAAACGTGTATATTATCAAGCTCAAACTTGGTTAGGGCATGATTTGGAACTCTCCCCCCCAACGTGCGTTCACCTTGTCGTGGTGGGGGGGCTCAGTAGTGCCCGGCAACCCAACCGGGCGCGAAGCCAAGAAACGCACAGGGAGGAGGCCCACTTCGGTGGGCGGTAGGAGGTGGCCCTCTTCGGAGGGCAGTGCAGCAACCCGCATGGTTTGCGCCTGGTACTTCTCTGATAGCAGAGTGGACTGTGGAGCAACCCCGTGGTTGTTGTGGTCTGCTTCGGCAGACCTGCCGTCGGGGCGTCGTAGTTGAATGCGTAAGCGATCCTGCGACGCCCCATTAAGACGGGTTTAAAAAAAAAAAAAAATGATTTGGAACTCCGGGTATGGGGTTGGGCAATGCGAAACGATTTTCTGGAGCCTATCATGACAATTTTACCACCTGCTCCAGAAGATTTGCTAAATACAACAATTTTCTGCAACTGCAAGAGTGGTTGTGGGTCGCGATGCTGATGCAGGAAAGCGGGCTTGCAATGCTCTTTAGCTTGTGGCCAATGTAATGAGCAAGCTCAATGCTCTACCATATCAGAGCGACATTAACGAAGATGGAACCTTTGACTCCGAAATTTATGGTAGAACTTGAGACAAATGTCATTGAAGACGATAATGAAGATCAGTTTGAAATTTACCAGCAGCCGGAAGACGACGATGAAGAGGAAGAAGATGATTAAAATTATACATTGTAGTTTTTGTACCCTATATTCCATTTTTTTACTTTTAATAAAAATAAATGTATTAAATGATATTTTTTAATAAAAAGATTAATTCATAATTTATTTGTTTTTTTCTATCATGTAAGAAGTTATTAATAATAATTAGGTTAAAATTAAAATATAATTCCTATATTTTCATTAACAATTCTGCAATAACATGGGCAGGTTAGGTTAGGTTAGTTGTTAAATAAATTAATACTGAATAAAAAGTGGATAGGTTAGGGAACAAATGATAAAATATAATATAACAGTAAATAAAAATTGACAAATATTTATAATCATTGATTTATCGATAGTTCATCAACTATATATGGCGCGTTTTCGACCGGAGGCACCGGTTGACCTGAAGTGATCCTGTAACCGCGCGCTCTCCGCCCTCTATCTCGAAAACGATTCACCGTATAAAAAAATTTTTAAACAAAATTTGTAGAGAATTTTGTATTCTACAATATTGATAATAAATACAAATAGCAAAAACCCATAGGAAATGAGATATTTACAAAAAAAGCGCAAAAAAACGATTTTTGTGACCTTTGACCTTGAAATTTAATAGTTGCGTACACCCTACCATATGTAGGTTTTGAGACAACTTTTAAGGTGTCAATATACAAGTATTTACAGACTTATAGCTGGGTATCTCGAATTCCGAGGTGAACTTACTATAATGACTGGACTATATCGGCTGTGATATTATTTGTGAACAGACCAACAGATGGCGCGTCACTCAAATGACAATTAAGTCGAAGTGGATTAGCTGAGATAAAATTAGTTAAACATACATCACGTATTGTAGACTGTAGCATGTTGCTCATATTTCTTATACGAGTATAAACTAGTATTGTCACTCGAATTTCATATTACATATATTTTTAACCCCAGACACAAAGAAAGGGGTGTTATAAGTTTGTCGTGTCTGTATGTGTATGTGTCTCTGTATCTGGCACCGTAGCTATTAAACGACTGGACCGAATTTGTTGCGGTTCTTATCAATAGTACGTACCTACTTGATAAAACCAACAGTTAATTAAAAATACATATACTATGATTAACAGTATCTACACAATCGTTAATATAAAGCCTGCTTTGGTATTTAGTACACATATATTGTATGTCTATGTCACATACAAATAGACCAATTTAATTTCAATCACGTTGTTTATGTAAGATTATCTTTATTTACCTATATATAACATAGTCTTATTATTTATATGTATTATTTCGTATTTTTAATATTTATAGGTTTTTTTTGTACTGCAACCAATTTGTGGGAATGTAAACATTTTACAGCGGTACAGATAAAATATTTTACTTTGTTAACTTTTAAATTGTAATCCCTACCTCAGAAAAATCATTTATTATTAAAGATACCTCATGTGGTTGATTTTAGTAATAAATATATATCATTCTACCATATACATGATAATTATTAAGTATAAATCAAATATTAACACTTTTAACATTTTACTTCAGTAAACACAAATAACGCTAAAAATAATGGGCGAGTTCAAATAGAAGAGAAGGTCGAAAAGCATTCAGCCAAAAGCAAATTTCTAAGAATCTATGAAAGCTAATAAATAATAAAAAAGTTGGCGCTGCAGTCGCTAGTACCATTTGTGTCGTGTCCAATAGGTATAGAAAGTGTAGCTTCAGATAACACGGTCCTCAGTGTATCTGCAATTATTAAGAAATAATTTTTAATAAAAACAAAATACAAACAGATTACCATTCACATTTTAGTGACAGGTTAACAAAATATTAAGTTATAGTGTGTGGTGTACGTGTTGAAAAAACATTACTTACCTACCTGGTGGTTGTGCCAGCGCAAAGAGAATTGTTGGGAGTCGTCCTCATCCATTTTGTATAATATACTTCGTTTGATAGACTCACAATGACTGTGCACGCGCGAACAATAATATTGTTAACCGAATCCAGGCTACTTTATTTTAGTCGGTACGCCTGGAAAGCTACCTATTTCTGGAGCTGATCGTATTTATAAATCCAATGACATTCAGTGACGCGGCATACCAAAACTCATCCAAAAACAGATTTAGTCGAGACATAATGATTGGCATTTTCTTACGACTGATTTATTTGCATTGAAGCGTTTTTATACTAATTTCACTCACTTGCTGCCTGCAATTGCACTCTATCGTTCATAAACTTAAAAATTTTTTTTGTTCATAAACCGTTTTAAATAAAAATAATCGGTACGTCAAAGAAATTAAATAAATTGTTATTTTGAGAAGTGCATTGGCTTTTAAGATTTGACCTCATTTTTATTTATAATTAATTTCAACAAGTTTGGGCTGAATAACCTATTGTCTTGTTGCAAGTACGTTTTTTAAAATAAAAGCGCGGGAAATTTTGACTGAATAGTACATCGACAAAACAAAAGGAATTAACATAATAAAATTAAACTCGTTTCAATCTCTATTGTATTAACATAAATAGAATATTATATATTATTTTTCATTTAAAATGGATAATACGAGTATGAGTATTGAAGATATGGAAACCATTGAAATTGCAAAATATGCCATAGAAAAAGAACTATCTGATTTAAAGAAAATTGTTGACCATTTATGCGAAATGCGAGGTATTTCTTATTTCCTTTATACACTGATTAATTATATTTTATTTTTACATAAGTACTTAAATATTTCTAAATCACAATTATAATATGTAATGTATATTGTTGTGTTTCATAAATAATGCCTCTGGCGAATGTTTGTCAGCGGTCTTGGGTTCGATACTCGTAGGCGGTAAATGCTTATTGCTTATACAATTAAGTTTCGGTTTGGTTGAGATAGTAGATAGTAGTACATACTGTACTCTATGTCGAGCCGTAAGAGAAAGAAAGTGAAAATTCAAATAAAAATAACGCATCATATTATATTTCTTAATATATTCAATTCGATTTTTATATATGTATATTTTAAAATATTTCCGTAAAATTGAATCACAAAGATATTCCTTAACATTATTTAAATATATCTATTATTTAAATATATCTATCATTTATTCAAGTAATCTTATACTAGCTATCTTTTTTTATATAAATAATGAAATCCTAATTACTTTTAAATTTACTTGTAAATAATATTATAAAGATATTAGCGACTCACACTCGTTTCGCTCGGGTTCATACCTAGGTACGTTTTAACGGTTAGTATGGAACAGATAGACTATATATACATAGGTATGATCAATTCTTGTGAGTTGTATTATAACATATTTTCCTGAGGGAATGAGATAATCTCCCGCGGTAAAAATAAGCCTATGTCACTCTCCAGCCCTCCAACTATCTCCACACAAAAAATCACGCCAATCCGCCATTCTTTTTCGACGTGAAAGAAGTACAAAGAAACAAGCAAACAAACAAACAAACAAACATACTTTCACATTTACAATATTAAAATTAAAGTATTTGTGTAGAACACTTACCTAATGTTAGAGGGAAATTGTTACAAAACCGCGATGTAAGCTTGTAAGTAAATCTTAGTACGTCTAAGAAATAGGTGCCTGTTAGATTGAAATTTCATCTTCGAATAACCATTACTTGGCAGAATAACTTGTTACTTCGAGCCTGTAATCATGTAATGAATCCTAACTTTCATAAGTAAGCACATAATACGAGTAGGAGCGGAACTGTGCGGTTGAAAATTGATTTTATCGAAATAGGTTATAGAGTCCGCAAACTAATATATATTTTTAAAACTCTAAGAAGTATTGCTAACCAAAATATTATACGAAATGTTTATTTTGCTCTGTGTCTTTCTATTATTACATACTCCATTACTTCTTGGGGTGGAGTAGCTAAAACAACTTTAAAACCGCTAGAGGTCGCACATAAAGCGATATTGAAAGTAAGTACCTTCCGCCCAATTTTATTCCCAACCATACAGCTGTATAATGAATGCAACGTTCTTAACGTACGCCAGCATTTTATTCTACAAACGATTCTTCTGCAGCACCGCAAGACTCCCTACAGAAAAATTAACAAACGTCGCAAAGACAAAATCTGTGCACTTCCACGAGCACGCTCAGCATTCTGTAAGAGATTTTTCTATTATTTAGGGCCATCTTTATACAATAGGATTAATCAAAAATGTCCAATATTCGGCTTATCCTACTACAACTGCAAAAAAAGTGTTCGTTCTTTCCTACAAAACAAAACCTATAACGAAACAGAAAAATACCTAACTTAGACGTATAAACTCAAACACACACATGCACACACACACCCACACTCATACACACACACACATGCACACACACATTCACACACATACCACACACACACACACACACACACACACACACACAAACACACACACACACACACACACACACACACACACACACACATATTCATCCATTTTCATTTTCATTTATTTACTCAGTTATCAAGTTAATGTTACTACTAACGATAGAACCTAGTATTGTAATTAGTTGATAGTATAAATGAAAACATATTGTACGGTACATAAATATACTGGTAAATATCCAAAGGGGAACGGGACTGTTACTCCTTAATACAGATTATTTTTATAACCTAGCAAGGAGTACAGTACTTCACCCAACCGTATGAAATTGATTTGTACAAGCCTTTACTGTAAAAAAATTACTATGTTCTATGTTCAATTTCCTTATTTATGAATAAAGTTATTATTATTATTATTATTATTATTTATTTAATTTATTCATTAGACCTAGATCTTAGACGCTCCATTAAGACGAGGTAAGATTTGTTGGGTTTTAATGGGTGGTACTGGATTTTCTTGGCGGTGAGTCCCACATAAACACCTGTATAAATGCAGGTGGTATACGTGCATTTCTCAAGTGTTTCAATATTTGGCTAGCATGGTCGACCATAACCTGGAGATAGTGTAAACGTTCATATTTTACGTCGGCAGGGACGACGGTTGGGGAGACACTACCTTAACTACTACCTATTTATTATATAGATGGTATAGGTAATATAATAGTCTATGCCCGCGGTTCCGCTCGTATGATAAGAGAGAGGGAATAAAAAGTATAAGCCTATATCCGTCCCGATAACACAATCTATGTCCTGGCCAAATTCCATCCTTATCTGTACAGCAGTTTAAGTATAAACAAGTAAATAAAAAAATATATTATCTATATTAAAAAAAAGAACGCAACTGCATAAAAGCTAATTAAAAAGATGAAAACAAGTTGACGAAGGTATATGGTATTATGCAGTCAGAGACATACGCGTTTCATCCTTGCCGCGAGATGTAGGTACATAATATTAAATATGTATACATATGTATATACATACATACATAGACTGATAAACACATTACCCTCTTTCAAGTCGCGCATTTGGGTTAAAACTAATAAGCAGGAGTCACTTTCACATTCACATATCAAGTTAATGTAGTAGTTAATTATATCATACTTCTATATCTTTATAAAATCGTTGAGTATGTATGTGTTCACTACGGATTCCAAAACGGTTGGAACGATTTTGATGAAATTTTCAGTCAATCTTCAGATTAGCCCAGCGGGCGGAGCTGTGGCTACTGCCTATTAAGTCTATTATGAATGCGAAAGTTTGAATCTTTTTGTATGTTTGTCACTCCTTCATGCTGAAACGGCTGAACAGATTTGGATGGACTTAGTAAACAGATAGATTATAACCTAGACTCTAGAGTAACATATGATATTAATTCTGACTTCGAAAATATCTGATTAGGTATCTATTCTAAATGAAAACCGAGGTTTAGTTATTTTTTACATTTTAGTGCCTGGAAGTCGGTTTTTTTAAAGTTTTCATTTGTCCATTTTTAGTGTAGACGTAATAAGCAGGTAATTAGTAAGAAGAAAGTTTTTTAATAACATATTCGATTAAACAATTTATTTAAAAAACCGCTCGACCGATTTCGATAAAATTTATAGTGGATTATAGTGGGAAGTATATATGCCCTTTGAAACAAAAAAATCCAAATCGGTTCAGGTGCCTTCAAGTAATCGGTGAACATACATAAAAAAAAAGATTCCGACGAATTGAGAACCTCCTCCTTTTTGGAAGTCGGTTAATAAAATTCACACCTAAAGATGCACTCGAGTGAAGCAAGGGAAAGTCGCTAGTATAAAAATAACGAAGCCGTTAACTGAAGCTTATGTCATTATAAGACTCACTCTCGCTTCGCTTGGGTTCGTCCCTAGGTTTATTCCTCATACAAACTTTCATCCCCTTGAAGGATGATTTCCGGGATAAAAACTATCCTATATCCTTTTCAGGGTCTCAAACTATCTTCTTACTAAATTTCATCTAAATCGGTTCAGTAGATCCAGAGATTACCCCCTACAACGTCACATACTCACAAACTTTATTTCTTTATAATATTAGTATAGATACAATTCTCTTATATATTACAGTTCAAGCGTTTGACTTAGAATGTAATGTGATGACAAAAGTGGATTCAAAAACATGGACTAATATCTCCGAACTAATAGGCTTGTCTCGCTCTCTGCTGCTATCTGAAGGCGAGATTACATTTTCTTAATTTAGCATATTAATGAGTTGGCTTAATTTTCGATATAAAATGTTAAAAAAATATACTTCATATTTTTAAAAACAGACCGTATTTTTCATTTGAAATAAATATAAATAACAAACTTATATATGTAAAAGAAAAAGTCCATATATATATAATAAAATTGTAACTAAGTTGAATCTGTTCATTAAATATTTTTTGGAAAATCTTATTGAAATGATATTATTATAGACACAGTTCGGATCTATAGTTTTTAGAATTTTTGTTTGTCTGTCTGTCTGTTACGAAAAAACCACAGGTCAGATTTTGATGTGGTATGATGATAGCTGGTTATCCGGGTCAACATTTAGGAAAATTTTTACCGCGAGAGAATGTCTCATTTCTGAGAAAAAATACAAAAACTGCAATGTAAGAGTATACTAATATGTAAAACTTAAGAATTTGTTTTTGGTAATGTGAACGCGGGCGGAGCCGCGGGCAGTGCTAGTTATTTTATATAAGTAATATTGTCATAAAGAATTATTACAATCTGATATATAGAAAGACACTTAATGGTTTAAAACCTAAAACTAATGGGTAAGTATTGTATATCTTGTTTTTCGGTTTTTTGGGACATTAACACACAACACCATCTAGTTCCATAGTAAGCTACGAGATCTGTGTTATGGATACCAGATAGTTGATACACTACACAAATATAACTATAAATACATACATATTATAAATATAAACACCCATGACTGGAGTACAAACATTCGTACTCATCACAGTAATGAATTCAGCGGGACTCGAACCCGCGACTGTTAGCACTGCAGGGCACAGTAGGGTCATTATAAACAGCTAAACGTGTCGTCATAATATTTGAATCAATATACAAAGAACCTCACAAGCTCCGCGAAATGCTTGGACAGACACATGGACTTTTTAATTTAGAAGGTCCTATAAATTAACACTACATGTATGGCTATAATAGAAAATCTCAATGTTTTGTAGGATAAAAATGTAAGTAGAAAGAAATTATAAAAATCAGAAAACTAAAGAAGTGTCTATCGATTGGATACGATTTTATTTTAGTCCTTTGGAATCGAAGAAAATTCCATTGCCTGGCTTCATAAATACCTAGGGGTTAGGGGCCGTATGCATTTCATATCGTCGGATAGGACTTACAAAGATTTTAAATTTTGCGAACATCGTTATTACGAATAACTACGCTTTAAATAAATATGTTGGAACATTAATACACAGCACCATCTAGTTCCATGGTAGGCTGCGAAGCCCGTGTTATGGATACCAGATAGTTGATACACTACACATATATAACTTTAGATACATATATATTATAAATATAAACACCCATGACTGAAGTACAAACATTCGTGCTCGTCACACAAATGAATGCCCTCACCGGGACTCGAACGCGCGACCACTGGCTCAGCAATTAGGGTCATTACAAACTGAGCCAAACGTGTCGTCAAATATTATAACAAATATACAAAACGCTGAAATATTATTTTAAAAAGAATTTATTTATTGAATGTTTAGGATTTTCGCTCGCACTCCCGGGACGGACTTTTATTTTACATCTTAAACTACCAAATGGTTTTTAGGTGTTATTTTTTTCATTATTACTATGTACTATATGCTGTAACTAGTAGTCTCCCCTATCTTCGCTCGGGTGTGTATTTAGGAATTGGGTATCTGTTGCATTTATAATATCATGACTCGCGTTCGCTTTGCTTGAAAACTTGATTTTACAAAACATTTTTTTTTTCTATAAAACAAAACGTCTCATCTTTAAGCCTCTAGTAGAAGTTACCTGATCATCTTACTATATAAAGGCGAAAGATTTTAAGGATGGATGTTTGTTACTTAATCATGCTAAAACGGCTTAATGCATCTATATGACATTTGGCACAGAGATAGATAATAATTTGGAATAGCACATAGGCTTTTTATCCCGGAAAAATTTACGGTTCCCGTGGGATAGATTTGTTTTTGTGTTTCACTAGGGCCGAACCCGAGTTATGCGAGGGTGAGCTCCTAGTTAATTAATAATTTTATTATCCTGGCATATAAAAGTCATATACAATTATTAATTATTATGTGCATATACAACAAATCCTCAATATATAAGCTTAGCTAAAATACTGAAGGTCTGGATTGGTCTTTGTGTATTTAGAGCTTATATAAATATCTTTTGTGTAAAAAATTTTCAGTTTTTCCCAAATTACCAAATTTTATCTACCACTTATTCAATTTTCCTCGAAAAACCTTATTCGGACTATTAATAACATTTTAAAATAATAATAAGCTAAATCGGTTCAGGCAAGTAATGCGCTTACCAACAATATTTTATTTTTTGCTAGATTCTCTCAGACAAGCAGGTTTCCTAGCGGTGTTTTCCTTCACCTTAAGCCAAGTGGTAATCATAATATAACATAAATATCTATAATTCAAAGTACTAAAAAATTATTTAATTCCTAACTCATATCCTACCTGTTAACCAACATGTCTACCCTACAAAAGACGCTCACGCCGTCTACCGTCCGTTTTCAATACTACAAAGCGCTTTGAACCGAATAATTTACGAAGCTTCTCAACAAAATTAACTGCTCACCTAACTCAGACCTTAACCCCTTACACTAAAGGCGATTTCTCACCAAACGTTTCTTTAAAACTTTGCAAATATCAACTCGAAAACGGCCACATTGGAAATCCTTTAGAAAGAATCGGGTTCTACCCCACTGGAAACTTTATTAAGTTATTTTTATAAATAGTTTTATAAGAGAGAATGTTTTTGCAAACGGTTTCTCGTTTTTATGGTAAATCCTTTCATATTTTCTTTTCGTATCGCATTCATCATTTTAAAGGCAGAAGGTTCAATTTAAAATACGAATTGATTGGGCTTTTTTAGTCTAAATTATTGCTTTTATACAAATGGGGTTGTCAGCAAGTATTTCAAGATTTTTAGTATGGAAAAATGAATTTATTGTATGAGATTTCCTTTGTATATTTTTCTCATGTAAAAATATGAATAAAATTCTCTTTGCGGATTTTTTCGCGGATTTATTTAGATTTTTGGTTCCCGATGTTTCAAATGCTTTACAGAAAACATGGTTAAGGTAGAGACCCGTTTAAAATATGGCAAATAGGCGCGTAAATCTGTTAGAGTAATAATAATAATAATAATAAATACTCTTTATTGTACACCCACAAGAGAAAAAATAAAAATTTACAAGAAATATATAAAAAGAGTTATGTACAAGAGGGGGCCTTATCGCTAAAACAGCGATCTCTTCCAGGTATCCTTAAGGTGTTGGAATTGACAAACTGTAAGAGGGAAGGGGTGTGAACTATATAGTAGTAATAATAATAATAAAAAGTATTATACATATACATATATTAAAGTATATGGATTTTAATCACAAAAATATAAGGCAAAAATGTAAAATGCAAATAACTTAAAACAGTCGATTGCCAATATTGTTTTGACAGCTTCTCCAACGAGAGTTCAACTCACATTTGGTACGTTTTCATTATCTGTTCCTTTATTTGAGAATAATATGAGATAGATACGATTAACTCTATTTTTCACTCTTTTATTATTAGCTATTAGAATAAAATTCACAAAAAGGAATCCTTTAAACTTATAAATGACGGATGGACGGATTGATGGTATAGAGATAGTAATAAACTTATTAATTAAGCTAACAAATTAAATTCAGAATACTAAAAATGATATGTATATATTAATATAATATTTATTTAAAATGTTAAGCATTACAAATGTATTAGATTGGGGCTAGTTAAAGGCGAGGTGGTCAGATTGAAGCCATCGATCCCACTAAGACTTGTGTTTTATTTTTGAAATTAATTACGACAAAAACTAAATTGAGGCCCAACCATCTTAAAAATAGCATACGTTGCTGTGAGTCATTAATTTATTTAGGCAAATTTTTATGTCCAGTTCAACAGCTGGGATCGAAGTCAATAAAAATATCATGGGTATCAAAATTATGATAAGAAATATGTTTCTTGGGTTGCCATTTTATCTCGCAAACACGTAGCACGTACGTTGTGATGCAAAAATATATAAATTTAGAGTAAGGAAAAATGTAACGATCTTTATAGCTTAGATTTCATCTTCATTGGACAAGACTATATATAGGTATAAGACATAAACTCAGTATATTATATTACATAATACATACCTCTATACAGACAAATAAAATCGAAGTGTCTGTTTGTAATGTTAAAATAACAGCTTTTTACTGAACACATATTAATTACATAAGGTATTTATAAGAAAAACACAATTTTTCAAATTTTTGTCTGTCTGTCTGTTTGTTTCGGCTAACCTTCGAACTGCTGGGCCAATTTTGACGGGACTTTCACTGGCAAGTAGTTGATGTTATAAGGAGTAGATTACTTTTATTTCAATAAAAGAATTAGGGTTCCGCTCAAAAAAAAATCAAAACGTGCCTAGGGACGAACGCGAGGGTTTTTATCCCGGAAATCATCCCTTAAGGGGCTGAAAATGAAGATGAAAGTTTTTTATGGGGAAACAACCTATGGACGAACCCGAGCGAAGAGAGGGTGAGTGCTAGTTATATTTATAAAAAATTAGCGACTCACCCTCGCTTCGCTCAGGTTCGTCCCTACCTTACTTCCCAATACAAACTTTTATCCCCATATTCACCACCTTAAGGGATGATGATGATGATGATGGATTTCCGGGATAAAAAGTATCCTATGTCCTTCCTAGGGTCTTAAACTATCTTCTTACCAAATTTAACTAAATCGGTTCTGTATCTGGAGGTGTAATGTGCTGTATCTGGATCAACAGATCCAGAGATTACACCTCAATGTCGCAAACTCGCAAACTCACAAACTTTAGCTCTTTATAATATTAGTTTACCCTATCCACATTACCAAAGAAATATTAAACCTACCGCTATCCACCTATTACCAAAGAAATATTAAAGAACTTGGAGCCTGCTGACAAA